ATAGTAAAAAATCAGGCTACGTATGGCGCAAAGGGTTCTATATTTATGTGAGACCAATAATCTATGTGTTGCCTCAATTATGAGGCATCTTCAGGGTTAGGTTAAGCGTCTCATAATTGGGGCGAAACGTAGGTCGTTGGTTTCATGTAAATGAAAAAAACCTTTGCCCCATAGGTAGCTTGATTTCGTACTGTATACAATTGTTGGGGAAAAAATATCAACAAAATTATATTATTAATATAATTATAGTTTGTGCATCATTTCAGCTGTTTATCTACAGTCTTGTCAAAAAGTTTTTAATAAATACTTGAGGAGCTGTAGATAAATTGTCAAAACGTTGCACAATTGTAATCATATTAATAATTAATAGAGAGTATTATTACCATTAGATTACAATCATTTACAATATAAAATTCCAGTCGTCAATTTGATTTAGATATATAAAATAAAAAGTTGTTCGTCTTACCTATTACGCTTAAACGTTTTTCTTCCAAATAATTTTCGGCATTTTCAATCAGGCATCCAGTGTCGTATTTAAGAGCACAGGAAAGTGCGGCAGGCAAATAATTTTTCACATTCCGTTTATTCCTTGAGTGTGGAATTTCAGGTGCGGGTTCGTCGCTTAACGTAAAGTTGATATCTCCCACGTTTAATATACTATCGAAGTCTAAGTTGCAATTGACGCTCATAAACGCGCCAAAAAGTAGCACAGTTACTAATTTAAAATGCATACTTAAGTTCTTCTTTTATTTTCTGTTACCTACTTTAAAGTTATCACACATAAATCGATAGAGTCACTTTAACAGAACGTCACCGGGTTGACTTAAGAGGAGCACATGTAGAGTTAATAAGGTGACATTCGATGGAAGTGTTGGTAAACCATCACCTTGAACTGTTTGATAAATCTGAAGGCCAGGGACTTGGAAGAGCATTTATACGTGGCCAGATCAGGTTGCCCATACTTGCCGGTCTTCTCTTCGGAAATGTAGAACACGCGGTCTACGCGAAGCGAGAATTCACTTGCGACAAACTATGCGGTAGCTTACGTGTATTATTTCATGAGCCATCAAACAGCAAAGTACCTACTGTTCATTAATTAAAATAGTAATTCAATTTATGATTTGTTTTGAGTAAGAGACTCAAAAAGATATAAAATTTATATCCAGTCGGAATCCAGTACCCGGCGCATCCGGACTGGTGATGGAACCAGGCGATTTAACCAAAACAGAAAAATAACAGCAATAATAATATGTATAATAAGTATAACGAAACCATGCATTTTTAACTATTAAGAATTCGAAAAAAAGACTCTACTGACAATGAGAACAAAATTTCAATATTTAGGGCAGCGAAAACCACATTGTTAAACATACATACAATTTAGACATCTTTTCGAAGTGAGTTAGTTTAATATGAAATATTAATCTGAAAATTCATTTTTGAATTTTATACCCACTACACAGTACCTCAAATTAATGAGGGAAAAATTGTTGCTGTTGCCACACCCCCGCCGGGAATCGAACCCGTTTAGTTGTCAGAACATTGGTGCGTAAAGCCAAAGGTCCAGGGTTCGATTCCCGGCGGGGGTGTGCAACAGCAACAATAGTTCCCTCATTAATTTGAGGTAGGGTGTAGTGGGTATAAAATTCAAAAATGAATTTTCAGAATAATATTTCAAACCACATCGTTGCCTATTAATATCGCTACAAAAAATAACTTATATTTTCATTGAAATGAATGTAAAAAAGTATTGTAAAATTATATTGTGCATATATAAAACGCATTTGCTTAATTCTCATTGAAATCCATTGATTTTATTTTTTGTGTAAAAACTGGAATACTATATTCAGTTATATTTGTTCCAAATGTATTTAACATATTTCTTAGACTATCGTTAAAGTACACTGATCATATATAATATCTCAAAATTAATAGAACTTTAATGTTAATAAAAATAAATAAGATGTATATTATTACATGTATATATATATAAATTCAAATGCAGTACTTTACTACTACATTATTTTTCATATATCGAAATGTTGCTTTTTAATAAAAAATATAACTGTAATAGTAACTTCGTACATTTTATATTAAAATTCAAATGGCAATTTTTACTGAAATCATTTCCCTAAAAGTAG